ACCGTTCTATGCCAAAAACAAAATTTCTACAGAGTCTTCATTACCCTGTTCTTATTATGCATTCTTATTGTAGCTAAAATTAAAGTACAAAGCTCACGAAAACCGACCAATAGGTACTGTTCTCTAATTCAATAGGGAAAAAGAAACTTACCCTCCTTGCTTTACTTTGATATTGCACTGCCTTCTTCGTATCAGCTACAGCTCGATCGACAAACTCTTTTGCGTGCTCTACATTGTATTCTATTCGATCTACCATTTCGCCCTACAAATAGCATTATTTCTGTCAAATCAAAAAAAAAAAAAAATGAAAATAACTGTTCTTCACATTCTTGATAAATCTACTACCCATAATATCTTATAAAATTATTAATTCATTTCTTTAATGGCTAGTTCTTCACATTATTTATAAATCTACTACCTATAATATCTTGTAATCGATGATCAACATGGTAACAACTACAGACAAACAATTTAAAAAGCAATAAGCAATAAACATAAACTAGCACTGCTACACGCAATTTCGTAATTAATTATAATACAACTCTAAACAAAATTACGCTTCCACCACTTCTTTAAACCCACCTGAGACTCAACAAGCATTGCCATATCCATGAACATATCGTGTAGTTCACGTATGCTCGATTCTAACTTCATAATATCATTATGACGAGCTTCAATATCAGCTAATGTTTGCCGTGCTTGTTGTGTATCGGTGATGATTCCTTGGGTAAAGACACCTGGATTTCCAGACTCAATCATTTCTTCCAAATCCTAGAAACAATAAACTGCTAATGTCTAATTTACAAAAAATCAACATTTTACGACGTGCTATTGAAGCCACATAGTTCATATCTCAAGTTACACCAAAGATTTGTCGGTGGACATTGTCGCACTACCCAAGCCGTCAATTCACAGTAATCAAAAAATTTAATCATTTATTGAAAAATAAACAAGCTTACCTCATCTCCTACTTGCTTGCCAGCAATATCTAATTGCCTCTGAATACGACCCTTACAACGTTCGCGATAATCCGTCTGTGTTTTATTATAATCCGTCATGACTTCGACGAATTTTCTGGAAAGCGTTGAGTGTTGCGTTTTTCGTATACGTAAATCAGCTGACGATAATCCACTACTTTCATCATGTTCAATACTATTTTCGATCACTGAAATATTTCATTCAGTGAAAAGATATATGAATGATTTTATGTCTTCAATATTATTTATTCAACTCAAAACTAACTTTAACAGATTGCAGAACCTCAAAACTAACATTTTAGTTTCCCCCGAACTTTATTTGCAGTTTTCTTAATGCTAGCCATCAGCTCATCCAATTCTTCCTTTGTTTCTGTAAAACATACAATCAGCAAATCATAGTAAACATCATCAAACCATTGGGAAAAAAAATGATCTAAACGTCAGGAGAAAATTTTTATGTTAGAATGACGTACTAGGATCATTAACTGGATTGGAAAGAATTGCTGAATGTTTCTTCTTCACTTCTTCAACATTTGATGCAATTAAGTCTACGCTACCTCGTATTTCTTCAACCTTAATAATTAATAATATAGTAACAAAATAAATAAATTTCCTTTTGCAAACAACCAATTTTTAGCTTATCAAATTAAAAAAAAAAATTTCAAGAAGAATAAACCACAACAAATCAAACATAAATAAAAAACTTGACTAATTGGAATGAATTTGATTTAAGAAATCACAAAGATGGAAATGTAAAAGTCTAACCTGTTCGAAAAATTCTTCCATGAACTGTCCCTGAGCACTGTCTGTTGCTGCAAGGTCATCTTCATGGTCTTCTTCTGATTGAGCCTGAAATATTTATATTATTCTTTTTAAAACTGCTTATTTTTTCTAAACCATCACTAAAATAATCTCAACGACAAAAACATTTAAACTAGTTCCAATTTGTAGGACTGCTTCTGAATAAAATGCTTGTCTCATCTGTTTTCTGGCAATGAGTATATTTGGTCTGTTAGTATATTGGCCAGAAAAAGCTTATAATATTAAATCATGCAATGCTATTCACCTAGGCTTAAAGTTTTCATTTTCAGTAATTTCAATCATAATAATATGGATCCATTATTCCAGCCATTCACTATTTTCTAATGATCATGTTAAAGGTGAAAAAAAAAAAAAAAAATGTCTTCTAACATTTAATCACAAATGAAGACTGGAAACCATATGGAAAATCAAATTATGATCAATGATAATCTCACAAATCAGTTAAAAGGAAAATCGTATCAACAAATAGTAAAAAAAGACGTACAGCTTTAAGAGCGCTAAGACGATCCTTGGTCATAATCGATTAAATGGTAGACGATATTTTCTAAAAAACTGCAATAAAAGCAACTTTGATCCTATAAAATCGTGATAAACTTTATCGAAGTCGAAAGTAATAAATTGTCATGTCGAACCACATCACAAGAATGACCCATACAGAGACATTCAAACCTGCAAATGAAACAATTTATTGCGATCAAATAAAAGCAGCGTTGTGTCGATACGGTGGTGTTGGATGTTGCTCAACATACAAACATCTTCGGAGAAAAACGAACAAACTGATTTAATTTCAATGAATTTTATACTGAAACGACACCCATTTATTTCTACACCCACGCATACACACTCCTCGAAAAAGACTGCCGATTAATGTTACGAATAAGAGAAATGGACGGATCGCTTGCAACACAACAAGCAAAAAGGACAAACAAAGTGGCGACACAGCTAAACAAACAAACAAATAAGTTAGCCAATAAAATAACCATAACAAAAAAACTGAGAAAAAATCATCCATTATTTACAATGCTAACTACTCAAAAATAACAAGATAAGCGCAAAAAAAATTAATCAACCGTGTCACAATCCCTGTAAATATTGCATGCACGATCTTAACGGATCATTGTTAATGGTTTTGAATCAGCAGAATTTTGTTGGAAATAATCATTATCAAATCGATAAAGTTTGTTGAAAAAATTTCCATACTTATTAACCATAGGTCTTGAGCAACTCATTAAAGAAACTATGGAAAAGCCTTTCGGAAGCGTCCATTCGTCAGAAACATTTATTAAAATAATTACGTCTTTTAACTAATTCAAATCACTGCAATTTCCCAAAATTTCTCTCCTTAAAAAATTCTCATTTTAAAAGTTTAGCCTATGAGGATATTATCGAATCCATATTTTATTTCCTAGAAGATTCAACAGCGTCCAATTAGAGCTAGAGTCTATTTCCAGCATTCCTTTTAATTTGCTCCAAAATTTGCCACTTCATAGTCCTAAAATGGCACTTAAATTGAATTTCCTTCAAGAAGCAATGATGCACATTCTTAAAAAGAATGTACTGTCCTGTCATTTGACGCATTTCTTGTCTTTTTGCAACCTAAAACAACAAGCTAAGCAAAAGTTCAATGAAACAAAAAAAACGGATAACTTTTTGTTTACTTAGTTGTTTTATAAACAAATAAATAAATGAATCAATAAACAAATAAACTATATACATATTCACATACTTTATCGTTTTTTTCATTTATTCGCTTGCTGAATAATTTATTTACTTGGTTAATCATTTACACTCAAACTTGTTTACATATCGCACTACGTCAGCAGCTAAAGAATTAATCATTCGACAGCAACGTGCACATACAATATTACCATTTTATCCTACCAAAATAACACAAATTACTAATTAATCCTCTTCACTAATCTCTGTGTGTACTTTTTCATTCCATCTGAATAGTAGAATAATACTTTTCAAACTAAATATTTCATCAATAAACAAAACTTATTAACGTAAGTTTCACTGTCACGTCAGTAAGCATACTTACGTATACGAAATCTTACACATAAAGCAGTAACGTATAGAAATATCGTAGCATATTGCCAATGAATGTTTATCGCAATGAGATATTAGTAGTTGTAAGCATGAAATAATGCATAATTATCTAACAGAAACAATGTTGTTCGGTTGCAGAAAGAGGAAGAAAAATAAAAATAAATAATGTAAATGTCAGTTTCAAAAAAGAAAAAAATCGGAAACGAAATTGAAAAGCGATGAAAAATAATAGCAAAATGATACAATCAACATTATCAGAGAATGAGAAAAGAGAAAACAAAAATTCCAACCAATCATTCATTCATTCAACCATAAATATTAGACAAAAGCATAGAGTACGGCCCGTGGACAATTCTAATAGTTCAATGTGTCAACTGCAAAGTATCACTCATTTCTTGAATTTTTCAATTCAAAAATAAATTATTGTTACTGTCATCGTTATCACACTATCATTTACTATTATCATTTGCTATTACTATCACTGTTATTGTCATCATTATTGTTAGTACTGAATTTTACATCTTTAAAATTAACAAAACTATATGCCATCTTCTTTTTTTTTTTTCGAGAATTCTCTTTGCAATCCTTGAAATCCTGGACATCACCGGAATTCCGGACTTATTATTTGATAGGACGAATAATTAGCTACCGGAATAATGCATTTATAATGCAAAGCAATTACGGTGGCAGCAAATACGGTATTTAATAAGAAAGGAACGGAATGCATTTATTAGTAAGAGAAAATAAGATTATAAAGTGAAAGTTAGATAAGTTAAGTACGAGATTTGCAGTGATATTTTGGTAGAAGGGGAAGGAGAGAGAGAGAGAGAGAGAGAGAGAGAGAGAGAGAGAGGAAGAGAGAGGGAGAGAGAGAGAGAATGGACAAAGAACGTTTATTAGGCCAAAAGTATTTGTTAGGCCTAAAAGAGAAATAAAAGTACAAAAGAGACAGACACAGACATACACTCATAAATGAATATGAAATGATGGCAAAGATCCGATTTGTTCGTAGCAAATAGCATAAAAAGAGCTTTAATGAAGGGAAAAGCATTCTTTCATCATTAAAATAGCCAAATTTACTGAAAGTGAAATTTACCATTGTAAAAAGAAATAATCAATAAAAGCTATTAAATGACAGTTAGCAAGCAGGACATGCACACACATACACGCACATGCACACATACACATACAAAGATGGTTAGTTTGAACGCTGTCTGTGAATGATCGATTGTTGTGCGTATGTCTGTATGTGTATGTATGTATGTATGTATGTGTGTGTGTGTGTGTATGTGTGTGTAGTGGTAGGAAGAGGAATGGATGAATAAGTTGGAATTTGGAATGGAGTGGCACGAGTGAATGAATGGAGTTCGCTCGCATAATGCATGTAAACTATGCTTCATTCGTCAGTGTCGTTATTGTCGTCCGGAAACTATTGCAGCATGCAAAGACCCAACTCTGTCCGGAAAATTAGATAATTAGACAGGAATGCTACTGTCACCGCAAGATATAGCTTATTGTCACCGCAAGATATAGCTTATTGTCACCGCAAGATATAGCTTATTGTCACACCTGTAAGCAACGACTATCAAAGATTTGCATTTGTGACAACACTATGAAATGTTGCAAGCAACTTGGATTATGATTACTGTTCAGGAATCTTTTTAAAGAATTTTGCATTGAGTGTGTCTGTGTATGTCTGTGTATGTGTATTATCATTTTATCAGTTAATTCTATGTGTTATCATTTTATCAGTTAATTCTATTCACATTATACTATTACAATTCATTTCATTAGCATATTTTTGTTAAATAATGCAGTAAATAGGATAATCATTAAGTGATTTGTGACTTACCTAATGGAATGAAAAGTTTAAATTTTGAGAAAAATAAATAAAACGAAATAAGGAATGAAATATATCAACAAAAATTGTCACATATTGCAAAAAGGAATAATATGTTTTCTTGTAATTATTTATTGTTTCTTATTAGTTTATTTTACTTAAATGGATGGAAGCGTTTTTATTAAATTAAGTTCGTAAACTTCTAATACTTTTAAGAAACTTACTAAATTCAAAAAATGGTATTCTTAGTTTCAAGTCACTGATTATAATATACAACAAACAGTAAAACCTGTGAGAGAGTGATTATCATAATAGCAACTTTTTGAAAATTTTCAAATTTTAAAATTTATCAAGCAAAGTTCCTGTTTGCTAGAAACGTTGATTAGACTAGTTTTGAAAATATTTTGATGTTCGTTTAAATTTTTCCTTCCATTGCTTCTAAATTATGGCTATTGCCTTACCTGTTTAGAAATATTTAAATTAACAAGTATTCAATTTGATTGTGCTACAAGAAGTACAAAAATTTCTGTAATTTTGTATTTTTTTTCTCCTCCTTTTTTCTTTTCTATTTCATAAAGTTTGATTAAAGCTAAAAAAAAAAAAAAAATGCAAAATAAGATGAAAATTCTTTTCTTTCATAATTTGAACATCTAAATTCAAAGAATTCTATAAGTTAGGCTTATCGTACCACTGTATATAGGTTTGATAATGATATGATATAGCTGATAGTGTTTATTCCATAAATAATATATTGATCATTCTGAGATAGAATTTGTTTGCTATTAATCACATTGATTGTGATGATGATCGTGATGATGATGATGATGATGATGATCGTGATGATGATGATGATGATGATGATCGTGATGATGATGATGATGATGATGATCGTGATGATGATGATGATGATGATGATCGTGATGATGATGATGATGATGATGATCGTGATGATGATGATGATGATGATGATCGTGATGATGATGATGATGATGATGATCGTGATGATGATGATGATGATGATGATCGTGATGATGATGATGATGATGATGATCGTGATGATGATGATGATGATGATGATCGTGATGATGATGATGATGATGATGATCGTGATGATGATGATGATGATGATGATCAGCCTTTTACTACAAATATATTTTTAAAAATTCCAGCGACAATTTGTTTGCATTTTCTTCTTTATGCATCGAAAATTCCTCTAATCGCATAATTTTTTGTTTTTTAAAATGTATGTGTGTATGTGTACGTGTATGTGTATCTGTTGTGTATGTGTATCCGTGTATGTATCTGTGCATGCATATGTGTGTGTATGTATGTATGTATGTGTATGTGTATGTGTGTAGGTGTATTTACATGCAAGTGAATTTTGAATTGGTGGTGAAGAGGAAATGAAGAGAACAAGTAATGTGTATTTATGTGCCAGTGAATGAATTCACAAGTCATAGCTATCTGGCCTAGGCTTCTATGCCTTTTCAAGGCTTATTTTGATTATTTTAACATGCATCCCAGTTTTTCTAGCAAAATTTATAGATGAAACCAATGGTAAAATGTAGTTTTTGCATACAAACAATTCTTATTCTCCTTCTAACTAAACTTTATATACTTTAGCCTTTAACTTTTTCTTTTCTACCTCATTCACAATCACATTAACACTATTTCATCCACTAATAGCTCCCTATAATATTTTAGGTTTTACTTTTTTAAATGAATAAATGTTAACTTTAGCAAATCGATCATCATAACTCTTTCACACTACTCTATTTATGTCATTTTATCACATGCAAACATAAACACAAACATACATGCAGTTGTAATTTGCATAAATGAAAGCTTAGAATGCTAAGCTAACTTATTTTTCATTGAAAAAAAAAATCATACTTTTCTTTTCTCTAAATAAAATTATTACTGCAAACAGATGGGTTTCTTATAAAAAAAAAGAAAAGAAAAATCCCATTTTTTCGTTTTTTTTTTTTTTTTTTTCAACCATAATTTTACTTATCAATCATTTTAGATAAGCTAATTGCTTACTACATGCAGCATTATTAATTCATTCATTTTAGCTCCTTTTTTCTCTACTTTTAGTCTATTTTTACTTTCACACTTTTCTTCTTTTTTTTTTTTTTTTTTTTCTACTTTCATTTTTCATAAGCTATTTTTCATTTTATAATACATTAAATTATTTCTCAGTATAGCAAAATGATCACTAACATTTGCAAAACTTTTTCCATTTCACTAAATTTATGTTGCATTAATGAATATTCATAAATTTAATTTTCATTCATAACATTTACAAAATTAGGCTAAAAATGGAATTTCAATAATGTTTACAAATTTTAATATTTTCCACCGTATTCAATCATTGCTCCATAAATTTTCTGCATATTTGCTTGCTTCCTTACTGTCATCCATTTGAAAATTTATAATTGTCACATATATATGTCAAATTTCTATTCCTGCTATAAATCTCTGATACTTATAATAATAATAATAATAATAATAATAATAATTATTATTATCTAACATGCAATCCTATAAAATTTTCATGCAAAATTACTTTACATTCAAATTTTTTTTCTTTCTCTTTTTTTTTTTTTCATTTAAAAGGCATAAGTAAAACTGCGATGCATCATTTAAAGCTAACATTAGTAGACGATAATTTGTGCCCAAGTATTAAAAACACTAAATGAGCTTCTCTTGGGAAACTTTTGTTTACCCGTGTAATTGTATTTCCCATTTTAGTTTACTGCAAAGAAATAGATTTACTTGCCATACACTAATTTTTCAAGAAATTGCTGTGTTCAAATTATTTCTGCCTTTTTTTTTTTTGATGTATTCAAATTATTTCTGCTATCATAGGCAGTTGAAAGTATTGGTAAACAAGTAGAAAGTATCCATTTTTTTTTTTGGTTATTTTATGGTTTCTTTTTTTTTAAGTATGATAAGTAATTAGTTTGACTCAATGGTTATAAAAATTGATTTATTCTAATGATACTAATTAAACTTATCAGAGCAAAAAATTGAAAGTTTGTGAAAATTACCAATCATATTTTATCAGTTTGGAATTACTAATCATATTTTATCAATTTGCGGTTACGAATATTTTATCAGTTTGGAATTACTAATCATATTTTATCAATTTGCAGTTACGAATATTTTATCAGTTTGAAGTTACTAATCATATTTTATCAATTTTCAGTTACGAATATTTTATCAGTTTGGAATACTAATCATATTTTATCAGATATAATTGAATATGATTTGGATATGATAATACAATTATATTTCTCTTTTCCTTTTAGAAATTTGGAAAATTAATGTAATTTTTTTCCTTCAACAAAATTTTTTTTTTTTTTTTTTGTGTAATTTTTAATTTTTTTTTTTCCTTTTTCCTTTTTTTTCCACTAAAGGTTTAATAGATAGATTACACTATACAACTATCATTTATCACAAATATTTATCACTGCAATAAAAATGTGTTTGCTCAAAGAATATCGATGTTACACTTAAACATTTGATATCAGCATTGATTATCAGTGGTGATTAAACGGATCAATAGAATTGATTATCATAAAGTGTTAAACTAACTAATAACTCTTATAGAAATATCATGTAATCTCATCTTCATTCACATATTCCATTTTTAATCATTCATTCAATCAAATTTTTTTTTCCTATTAATTTCTTTGAGATATGAGAATTTGCTTATTGTATACAATTTTTATTTCATTTTTTTTTGTTTGTCTTTCAAGAAATCATTCGCATTTTGCGTTTTATATTCCGGAATTAATGTCTGCAAGACATTTTAGCTGTTAGCCAATTAACTTGAAGCAATCTTGCTATTTAGAAAGTACATTTTCATAAGTCATTTATTATAAAAAACATTTTTATGGCTTTTAAGCAAATAACAGAAAAAAAAAAAAAAGAAAGAATAATTTGCTTGCTGACAATCTTTTTTTTTTTTTTTCTTTTGCTATCAAAAAGAAACGATAACTGTTCGTTCAATCAATATTCTCAATGATAAAATTGCAATATGTGACAATTTTTGTTGATATATTTCATTCCTTATTTCGTTTTATTTATTTTTCTCAAATTTTAAACTTTTCATTCCATTAGGTAAGTCACAAATCACTTAATGATTATCCTATTTACTGCATTATTTAACAAAAATATGCTAATGAAATGAATTGTAATAGTATAATGTGAATAGAATTAACTGATAAAATGATAACACATAGAATTAACTGATAAAATGATAATACACATACACAGACACACACAGACACACTCAATGCAAAATTCTTTAAAAAGATTCCTGAGCAGTAATCATAATCCAAGTTGCTTGCAACATTTCATAATGTTGTCACAAATGCAAATCTTTGATAGTCGTTGCTTACAGGTGTGACAATAAGCTATATCTTGCGGTGACAATAAGCTATATCTTGCGGTGACAGTAGCATTCCTGTCTAATTATCTAATTTTCCGGACAGAGTTGGGTCTTTGCATGCTGCAATAGTTTCCGGACGACAATAACGACACTGACGAATGAAGCATAGTTTACATGCATTATGCGAGCGAACTCCATTCACTCGTGCCACTCCATTCCAAATTCCAACTTATTCATCCATTCCTCTTCCTACCAACTACACACACATACACACACACACACACATACATACATACACATACAGACATACGCACAACAATGATCATTCACAGACAGCGTTCAAACTAACCATCTTTGTATGTGTATGTGTGCATGTGCGTGTATGTGTGTGCATGTCCTGCATGCTAACTGTCATTTAATAGCTTTTATTGATTATTTCTTTTTACAATGGTAAATTTCACTTTCAGTAAATTTGGCTATTTTAATGATGAAAGAATGCTTTTCCCTTCATTAAAGCTCTTTTTATGCTATTTGCTACGAACAAATCGGATCTTTGCCATCATTTCATATTCATTTATGAGTGTATGTCTGTGTCTGTCTCTTTTGTACTTTTATTTCTCTTTTAGGCCTAACAAATACTTTTGGCCTAATAAACGTTCTTTGTCCATTCTCTCTCTCTCTCCCTCTCTCCCCCTCTCTTCCTCTCTCTCTCTCTCTCTCTCTCTCTCCTTCCCCTTCTACCAAAATATCACTGCAAATCTCGTACTTAACTTATCTAACTTTCACTTTATAATCTTATTTTCTCTTACTAATAAATGCATTCCGTTCCTTTCTTATTAAATACCGTATTTGCTGCCACCGTAATTGCTTTGCATTATAAATGCATTATTCCGGTAGCTAATTATTCGTCCTATCAAATAATAAGTCCGGAATTCCGGTGATGTCCAGGATTTCAAGGATTGCAAAGAGAATTCTCGAAAAAAAAAAAGAAGATGGCATATAGTTTTGTTAATTTTAAAGATGTAAAATTCAGTACTAACAATAATGATGACAATAACAGTGATAGTAATAGCAAATGATAATAGTAAATGATAGTGTGATAACGATGACAGTAACAATAATTTATTTTTGAATTGAAAAATTCAAGAAATGAGTGATACTTTGCAGTTGACACATTGAACTATTAGAATTGTCCACGGGCCGTACTCTATGCTTTTGTCTAATATTTATGGTTGAATGAATGAATGATTGGTTGGAATTTTTGTTTTCTCTTTTCTCATTCTCTGATAATGTTGATTGTATCATTTTGCTATTATTTTTCATCGCTTTTCAATTTCGTTTCCGATTTTTTTCTTTTTTGAAACTGACATTTACATTATTTATTTTTATTTTTCTTCCTCTTTCTGCAACCGAACAACATTGTTTCTGTTAGATAATTATGCATTATTTCATGCTTACAACTACTAATATCTCATTGCGATAAACATTCATTGGCAATATGCTACGATATTTCTATACGTTACTGCTTTATGTGTAAGATTTCGTATACGTAAGTATGCTTACTGACGTGACAGTGAAACTTACGTTAGTAAGTTTTGTTTATTGATGAAATATTTAGTTTGAAAAGTATTATTCTACTATTCAGATGGAATGAAAAAGTACACACAGAGATTAGTGAAGAGGATTAATTAGTAATTTGTGTGATTTGTGTTATTTTGGTAGGATAAAATGGTAATATTGTATGTGCACGTTGCTGTCGAATGATTAATTCTTTAGCTGCTGACGTAGTGCGATATGTAAACAAGTTTGAGTGTAAATGATTAACC